GGGGGAGAGCCTCTACCGGTCATTAGTGGCCAGCCGCGCCTTCCAGCAGCTGGAGCTGGAGCGGGCGGAAACTTCCGCGGGGCCTGGCTGGGCGGGGCCGGGCGGGGCGCGGAGGGTACTGAGGACGGCGAGGACGGGGACGGGAGCAGGGTGCCTTGACTCTGCCCGCGCGGCGTCGCTATCAGGCGCCCCGCTCATTCGGGTCAGGAGGGGAGGGGCAAGCAGCGCGCTCTCCTCTGTTGGGGCTGCAGCTGCAGCGACCCTGACCATATACTCCCATTATCCATGATTTGAAGTCAAAGTGACGTTTTTATTTGATTTTTTGTCGACCGGCGTGACCCATATGCTGTCCTATAACCTGTAACCCACACCTTCCCGGCCCCTTCACCATATTTCAATACGTATGACTCTTCCCTCTGGTACTCGAAAATAGTGCGTCCGGGTAAGGCGCTGTTGTTGGTATGTGTGGTGATGAGAGCTGGTTAAACCCCGTGCATTTTCCCGCGGAACGCGTCCACAACGTCGTGTAGCAGGGAATTCAAGGTAATTTCAAGATGCGATAAAACGCAGGGGAGGAGACATGAGACTAATTTGGAGTGGGCCACAGACAAAACTTTACCAATCCACCGGGGAAGCCCCTCCAAACTGAGTCAGCCCAAAACAAAGGCGGGCAGGGCCCGGCAGGGCCAGTCACACAGCTGTACGCGTACCGCGCAGCCCGGGTGTGCGGTGATGTGTTGACGTGCGTCACGATTGATGCCTGCATCTCCAGATTGGCATGTGAGCCTCGCGCGTCGAGGCGCGTGGCGCCGCTCTGTAGCGTAGTCAAAACAAACCCATCCGCCGAGGCGACCGCCAGCGCGCACAGTTTCCTTTGAGATGATTTCGAGGAGTACCCACTTACACTACTTGGAAGCTGCCCGTCATATGTTGTTGGTTATGCGTGATGGCAATGATGCACCGATAGAAAATGTTGTGCTGACAACGCTGAAATGAATGTGAGCGCAGCAGGGGCTGGGACATAGTAAAATAAAATATATTGCAAAAACCGTACCGGGACGAAAATAGTCGTGTGCATAAAAATAGACGCGCTCGAGAACGAGAGGAGAGGCGGACAACAACAGCGTGCCCGCTGCTCATGGCAGGTGCGAATGATTTCGATTCCCTGGACCTACGTCAGCGCAGTACGCGGAGACGAGTTGCGCGGCGCTGTTTTGACCACGTTGACGTCGGAGCTCCCATAATTGCGGCCTCTCCGTGCGAGCATGCCCTCCAACAGCCACTTCGAGCGCCCACAGCGACCCACCGCTTCGCGGGGAGCGTTGCGATCGGCGCTCTAGTGGAATTGGGAAGAGAAATAATAAAAATAATATCATCTCATGGGAGCGATGTGCCGGCCGAGCAATACGCTTGCGGAGAAGTGCACC